AATAATCCAAATTGGTGACATGGAGAGGCCCGGGGGGGGCGGCAGGCGGCAGCAGGGGGGTGGAACTGAGCGGGGAACCGGGGGGGCAAAGGGGTACCATTGGGTGCTGCCCCCCACCCCCCAGCTTCGCCCCCCGCTGCGCCTGTGCCCTCTGCTTGTACCTGCAGGAGGTGGGGGGGCTCAGTCAGAGTGGGATGGTGTGGCCCCCCCCCCACACACAAACCCCCCCCCCCCCCCCCCCCCCCCCCCCCCTTGGCACTCACCTCATCCCTATGGCGAAGCAGAGGGCGATGGCCAGCAGCAGGCTGCCCCCCGCCACCAGGAGGGCGTAGGGGGACGTGGGGGAGCGGGCGGTGGCCTCCAGCACAGCCCCTGCAGCACAGGGTGGGGTGGGGGTCAGCGATGGGGTTGGGGGGGGGTCTCAGCCCCCCACGGAGCCCCCAGCCCCATCCTTACCCCTGGTATCATCAGTGGTGTCATCGCTGAAAAGCTCGGGTGGCAGCGTGACCCCATAGCCATAGGGATCGTCCTCAGCAGGGAACTGCAGGGGACAGAGGTGGGGGCACAGTGGGGATTTTGGGGGGGGGGTTCTATGGGGCAGCCCCACACAATGACACCCCCCCTACCTGCGAGCTGTAGGGCCCCATCTCAGTGACATCCCGGGGCTCTGCAAGGTGAGGTAGGAGGAGGGGGGTGGTGCGACACGGGGACCCCGGCACAGCCCCACTCTTGTGCGTGTGGGGGGGGTGAGGGCCGTGATCCCACCCTCCCCCACCCCTCCATTACCTGTCCAAGGGGTGCCCACCGCCTCCCGGCTCCATTCGCTCCACGCTCCGTGCCCAAACTCCTCCTGTGCCCTCACCTGCACCACGTGCCGGGTGCCCCGCCAGGCATCGCCAATATCCATCCACAGCCGCGTCACCTGGTCCACCTTTTTTTTTTTTTGTTGGGGGGGACACACACATACACACATAGGGCAGTCTGATATACACAACCCCCCCCTCTCCCCCCGCCCACCACCATCACCATCATCACCATCACCATCCCACGGCACCTGGGCTCACCTGGGTGAAGGTCGGGGTCGGCTCGGGTCGGTAGCGCACCTGGAAGCGCAGCCAATAGAAGCGGGGGTCCCAGGAGGGGGGGTAACTCCAGCGCACGCGCAGCCGCTGAGGGGAAAACTCCACTGCCTCCACGCTCACGTTCAGGGGGGGGTCCGGCTTCACTGAGGGGTCAGGAGTGTGGGGAACAGCATTAT